AAGTTACAGTAAAGTCACTTTCTGCTCAGATACTGAATGACTTTGCTGAAATATGCTGAAGACGCTGAGTCTGTAAATATAAAAGAAGACAAAAACAAGCTAAAGGTCCTGTCACATTAACGTTTTACACAATTTCTGCCAACTTGTGAAAAGATTTATAAAAACACTAAACATGTCTGAGCTGTAGATGTAATTTAAAAAAGAAAATCTACCTATAATTATTGTGATGCTAACAATTATACTAAATATATATGATCATAACCAAATTAATGTAGATCATTAAAAGAAGWAAAGCTCTTAGCTAAACAGTAAAACTAAAGACTTGCTCAAATCTAAAGCAGCAGAACGGTGGTTAAAGTTAAAGTAACATAAAAATGATTAAAAGAAGACAAAGAGTCAAACTATAATTGCCTTCAGAAATCTCTCCTGGTGTTATTGTCCTTCAGTCAGACAGAAGTAAAGAACTGAATCCTGACCTCAAATAAACCGTTCCTTCGCCTCTTATCTTCTGCACCACCTTGCATGTGTCGCAGACCTTACATGCAGCCCTTCTGCTGTAAGAGAAATAAAAAAACACAATTTCTAAAATGCTTCGACATCCTGGCAGCTTTCTGAGTGAGTACTTTATGAATAATTCATGACTAATAGTATTGTCAGTATGATGAAGGTACAGTGTGTCTGTAAAGGACTGTGAGATTATTCTGTTATTGTTTAAGGTTGTTTTTAGTTTAGGTTGATTACCTAAATGGCACCATTTTGGTTTTATTTAGTCCTGCTTGTTCTGGGTTTAGTTTTTACTTTTGTTTTCTTCATGTTCTATTCTTAGGACTCTGTCATAGTGTTCTTGTCATTGGTGTTAATTATAAAAAAAAACACATGTAAATGCAGTTTAATCTAATTTGTAAATGAAGCTTTTTGGACCTTTAAAATGGTTCATTAAAAAATAAAAACTTCAGATTGAGTGAAGGTTTTCAACTTTGACTTGAACAATKAAGTTTAGGCTGAAAACAAACCCTGATAAAGCACCAGCCTGTCACTAAATGTCACTAAATGTGTTGGTTTTGTCATGTTTTTTGTTCGTTTTGGTTTTTTTGTAAATAATGCTCCATAAATGTTTTATCAAATGAAGAAAAATCTAGATTTTTTTATCCCCGTTCATCATCATCATGTATCCACTAACCTTTTTATTCTCAACTTTTCATATTTACCAAATGTAAAACATAAAGAWATGAATTTTGTGTAATGTGACACTTATTCAACAAGACGGGACAAGATATCAGGTTTATAGAAGAGGGTCAAACTCAGCTGTTGGGCTGCATTCCTGCCTGATTCATCATCACTCTTTTCAGACTTTAGAAAGAGGTCTAACTCATTCACACTGGAGGAAAAATTAAAAATCTTTATATTTTTTTTCTCTCTGGTTTTCTCTTGTTCGTTCATCTGATATCTAAGAGAGAAAAACSAAAGAAAGCAGGTTCTGTATCTGTCAGGTTCGTCTGATCACAAGCCAGATTCTCTGCTGCTCTGTCTGTGATTGTTGCTGCTGAACTGTGCTCATTGTGTCCAGTCCAGGTCAGATTTACATCACAAAATGTTTCAGAGCAGCACACACAMACACATACGCACATGCACACACACACAGATATCCTCAAAAAAGGTTTTGAATCAAAACTGTTTCCTCAACCAAAGGATTAATTATCTAGTCATACATTTATTATTTTATATTCCGTGCTCACAGTCAGTAAAGAGTTATTAGAGGATGTTTATTGTAACGTTCCCACCTGACTGGAATCTGCCGAGCAACTTAATTAAACTCTGAACTTCTGTTGACTTTATGTAGAAAACTTTCTTCTATGTATACAACTTAACTAACATACAGAAGTAATTAATATAAACCAACAAGCTATATATTTTGCACACGTGATGGAAAGCATGACTAAAACTAATTTTTTTTTTTTATTTTGTGGTCTGAAAGATTAGTTTTTTTTAATCTTATAGTTAATTTGAGCTTTAGCAACAGTTTTGCTGAATGTAGCTTTTGTTGCTATTTATCAAAGACAGAGACGGAGCATTAAAGTGTGTGTGTGTGCGCGCGCGTGTGTGTGTGTGTGTGTGTGTGTGTGTGTGTGTTATTTTGTATGAACCATTATATATCACATAAATTACACATAGCAGGGTGAAACTGATGTGGTTACAGCTGAGAGTCAAGATTTAGATGCATCATGAGATAAAGAAATGTGTCTCTGCAGGCCAGTTTTATAAAACCTCCTCCTCCTCCTCCTCCTCCTCGCCTCTCAGAGCTGATGCCCTCATTCCTCTGAATATGTTCTCTGCACATTTGTGTTTTTTTTTTCCTTAGGAAAATGATTAAGTGATGTGAACTTCTATAAATAAACTCACAATAAATAGATTCATGAAAGCAAGATTTAAAGTGTACGGGACATACCTGAAATTTAGGGTGCTGTCATCATTTCCTGTTTTAATTTGAAAGTTCTTCGCATCCTGTGTTGGTTTGTGTCAGCTGGTTGTTGCCACCTTAAATTCTATTTTAAAACTACATTTTCAAATCATTACTTTTTAAATGTGTTTATTTTTTTTGAGAGAGATTAGCTGAAAGGAAAAACTTTGTGTTTGGTTTCTTGTTTTCGATCTTTTATGTGAGATTTGAAGTCAGCGAAAAGACCTAAAAGTATCGAACAAGAATTCAAAATAACACAGAAAGCTTCAGCTCTTTTTTGTAATTAGCTTTAGCTAAGGAACAACTGAATCATCCTTTCTGAAAGGAAAGTTCTGAAAACGATTCATAACTCTTTACAAATCCCTCTCAGAAGGTCTGATTTGTGTGATTCTGTTGCAGATTCCCGGGGCAGCGATGGATAGAGTCAGCCTGCTGTGGCGCCTGAGACGCCGCGCTCGCCGCGGAGCCGTCTGCATGGTCTTCTTCTGCATCTCCATGGCTCTGCTCTACGCCATCTGCGCCGAAAACAGCGTGCCCGTCACCGACGCCATCTTCGGCGTGCGAGCACGGACCAGGGCTCAGCCTCGGGCACACTCAGTCATCAAGGTACGTCGCCGAGCTGAAAGCATCAGATTTTAGATCCGCATSATCGGCTCAGGGAGTTTGAACAACTCTGTTCATATAGTCAGAAATTTATCACGTCGAGCCAGAAAATYTGATGAACGTTAAAATGTTCAGGTAACCTTTGATTCGATTCTATACGATTTGATTCGATCTGCTCTTAAATAATAAAAATACAAAATGCAAAATACAATATCACTATTTTTTCTTTTGGGGTTTTTAGGAGAAACTTGTAAATTGGAGTTTAATCTTGAAAAAAACTGTTTCAAGTTTCAAAGGTTTTAAATTAAAAGAATTATAAGTGACAATGTTGTTGGATACATTCATTTTTAATAAATTAAGAATAATTTTCTTGATAAATAAGAATAAGGCTGCAGGAGAAGGGGTGGGCTAATACGTATAAGTATACTTATACCCACTATGTTTCTGTTAAGTGCAATAAAACTTATTAAAACAAAATAATAAAATAAATGATACAAATTTTCATCACTGTGGATTTCATCAAGACGTTTCTTAAAGTTTAAACATAATAATATTGCTAAGAAAACTAAATGATTTTGTTAGAACATCATCTTTGACACATTTCTACATGCAGTCAGATGTTTACAGTAGTTTACAGAGTAAATCTTTACAAACAGAAGTCACTATCGTCTCTGTTATCTTTAAGTTCTGCAGAGTCAGCTGTGATGTTAGTGATTCATTAGTTTCTTTTGTTTGGCCCCAGACAACTTGTCAGAAGCTAACGTTAGCGCTGAGCATCAACCGGATGTAGATATATGGCAAGCCAGGAGGTACACAAAACATAGAAATGCACCTCAAACACAAGACGTCATGGAGAAAATTSCATCTCCTGCCCGATGAATCGATTTTCACGAATTTAAATGGAATCAATCTAAGATCGATTAAATCGATTTTTTTTACCCAGCCMTAAAAATGCCGGCTTTATATTAAAAAATCTAACATTAAAACGCCACTTCCTTCACGTTAGCTTGTGTCAAACTGTTACTGTTTATAGAAATGATAGAGTCATCAGCAAACGTTTGATTGTTGTAATTAAATAAACAGATGTAAAATAATGTTTACTGTACACAATTAGGTTCCAGATTCATGATTTTTCATGCTGACAAATGTAAATCTGTTTTAAAAAATATGATTCTGTAGAATTTGCCTGACTTTAAAGCAAAACACAGCTGGAGAAATATTTAAGAATATTGTATATTCAGGGCTAGCACGTTAAATATCAGGTCGCAAAATGTGGYGTTACCATCACTGTGACCCTTTCAGGTGCTTCGGGCCGGAGGTAAAACYTTGTACATCGACCCCCAGAAGCTCCCAGGTGTCATTCCAGGTGACCCTCACCGCCCCATTCCCGTCCTGTCCTCAATGAACCGAACCCTCGAGGACTTGGACTCTCCACCTAAGCGAGCAGTAAAAGTGAGGGAGCCCTCGGGGTTTTTCGCTCGCATTCTGCCCCGCCCCTTCACACGGGCACTGGAGACACTCTTCGGGAGACGGCGGAAGGGGGAGCTGAGCGGCAAATCGGGGGACRCCGAGTTCTTCGGGCCTCACGGGCTTCTGGGGGAAGTGTGGAACGACGAGATGTCCAGCAGCATGCTGGGGAGCAGAATGAAAAAAGTGGTTCAGAACTACCAAGTAAGAGTTTCTGCCAGAACTGGAGCAGGTTCTGACATTAGAACACTTTGTCTGATTGTGTCAGTTTACTTGTGTCCTTCCTGTCAGGTGATGAATAAATACGGAGTCAAGTTCTCCGGCCCAGGTGGGGTCTCCACAAGGCTCAAGTTAACCGGTCCTGAGCTTCTCTGCCAACTTAAGAAAAAAGTAGAAGTCTCAACGTTGACCTCYGACCTCGAGCCTTTCTCAGTGTTACCCTGGGCCACCCAGCTGCCAGTGAACCARATGACCTCTGACCTCGGGCCTTACAAGAGCTGCGCCGTGGTGTCGTCAGCAGGGTCGCTCCGAAACTCTGGGCTGGGCAAAGAG